TATATTCAAGAACTTACCTGACTGCCATAAATCACAAATACAGGATCCTGGACTATAAAAGTGCTGTTCGTCATGAACTTCAGAGTAAATGAAGGAATCTTTGGTAACCCTTCAGAACTGTCTAGGTTCAAATATGCATTCAGTACATATAATGAGGCAGAAAAAAGAAAGTACATCTCTCGTTCTCTTATATTCCATTACCTGGATTTGTAGCAATATTGCCAAGGATATCCTTCAAAGCTGGCTTTTGTAGCATTCACTTCCCTGTCAAACTGTAACCGGAAAAGGACATGTAAAAATACAGCACTTTAAAGTACAATAAGCAGCAAATAGTTGTAAGCCTACCTCTTTAACGACTCTATCGTAAATTTGATCTGGGAGAAATGTAAAGGATGTCCCACTATCCACAATGGCTTTGAAGTTTGTCTGTTCAATACAGGAGCTCCCAACACAACATGATTCCACCCCAACAAGATAAGTAACACTGGACCATGAATCACTCATGATGTTAATCAACAGAGTTTAACAAACCATACATGCAAGACAATAGTAGAGGTAAACACCCAAATACAGCACTCAAACTAATAAGCAAGTCTCTGAATTCACAAATTTACATACAATTGTCCATCTGAAGGCAGAAAGGAAGTTATCTGCTGGGTAGCAGGCCCTTGGTCTCCAAAGAAAATCCTTCCTGAATCATCTTCCTTAAAACAAAGAGAAAAGCAGTTTCGGACAAATCCAGCTTTTGCAAGACGACTAGGAACTGAAATCTCTCCAGGCCCCAAACCCAAAAGACCGTCAGGTGCAACTCCATTCAGGTAACCACCAGTTTGCTTACTGCCACATCTGACATGAAAAGAAATTTAGACCTGCTTAATACAGTTTTTTCGCAAACAGAACCATGTGAAACTAGTCCCCTGCACGAAATTCTTATTCAAACTTAACATACAAGTTGCTCAATGGAACACACCCGAAAATGACTGGAGCTCTAGCAGAGCTGTTGGCTGTCATACGGCTGCCTGATGCAAGGTGCAAGATATCTTCCACGAGCACTCCAGATGTGGATGTATCATCTGACACATAGTTCACAGTGTATGGACAAGGCTGCTTAGGGTTTTTGCAATTTGAACCCAGTTCGCATAACTGATGGCTGCACGACAGGAACTTACTTGTGCTTGAGCCGGATGGATTGTACTCGTTTAGATCTTTATCCTGCATAATAGATGCCCCAAATACCAGGGAGCACCTGCCAATCAATCATCTGATATAAGTGCTAAACCTGTAGGCTGTATTAGCAAAGACTCCACATCTACACCCAGTAACTGATATTTATCTAGAGGATGGGATTAAGGTTCTTCTAATAGGAGATCCAGCAACTCCAAGAAAAAGATTCTCTGACTTACTATAATCTGGCAAGACAACAACTCGCAAATGATATTGAATAAAATGTACAAATTTCTGAAGTATCCATCGTAAATAATGAACTGCGTGTTATAAATAGAACCCGAAAACAATGTAGAAAGATAAGATGATATAATACTGCATGAAGACATCTCTCAGGTTTGCTATTCTGTAGGAATCTCTTTTTGTTTTATTTTCGGTTTTTCAGCTTATCTGTTTCTCTGATCCCTTAGTGTACTCTAGGGGTGTCAAATCTAGCCCATATTAGTGTAATCTGACCAACTGATAAAGTATTGATTGGTCAAGTGACCAGGTGGCACAAGTTGACCCCAGAAGAAAACTTTGTTAAAAAGTATGAAACAAAAGTCATTGGTTTAGTCTGCGTTCATCTACTCTCTGTATGTATAAAGAAAAAGTCATTCTATGTAATTAAATGAACTCCAGAAAAAGGCACACAAACAAAACAATGATTTTGAATTAGACAGGTTGGGCCATGACTGATTGTTTAGCCCAAAACTGACCAACCTATCTTGACCGAAACAACCTCGGGTTGGGTCATGACCCTTAGTTTACTCAACCCCTTTCAAGTTGACCCAACTGCCTTCTTATCACTCTTAGAGTAGTTGTTTCTGTCTACTGTAGGCCTAAATTAAATGAATGTGAGGATCATATCCAATGGATAGGTGATACTGATTATATACCTGAAATGGCCTTCGACCCTTCTGTTATTCAATATTCAAAAGCAAAACTTCAGTTTAAGGAAGAGAACTCTATATTCAGATATCTCAAAATGGTAACCGCAATACTTGTCTTGGCGGCATAAACAGTCACATAATAGATCAGTTATCAACTAAAACCAAAAGAACAAGAAATTAAAAGGCAAATGACAGAAACCAAATGAACAAATAGGAATCAAGAAGTAGACAAGTAAGGCTGATTACAGAGAGGGTACTTGACCACTAAAGGCCCTATATTTTCAGTTATACCAAGTCTACTACTCCCTTCGTTCCAATTTATGTGAACCTGTTCGACTGGACACGGAGTTTAAGAAAAAATGAAAACTTTTGGAATTTGTGGTCCTAAACATGTCAACAAGGGGCTTAGAGTATTTGTGTGGTTATAAAAGCTTCTCAATAAGGGTAGAATTGTAAGTTTAAGCTAAATTGTTACCAAATTTAGAAAGGGATCATTCTTCTTGGAACGAACCAAAAAGGAAATAGGTTCACATAAACTGGAACAGAGGGAGTATGAAATTAGAAAACATGAAACATTGTTTAATGCATTACGTGACCTTGTCTACCTGGTAATTAAAGTATTACAAGTTCCTGTGAGTCTTAGGGTCGTTTGGTAGGAGGTATTAGCAAAATTAAGGCAAGCATTAGGTTTTTGCATTATTAGTCCCTTGTTTGATAAAAATTTTCAACCTAGTATTAGTTATACATCCTATTTGGTATTATCCTATGTATAACTAGTACTACGGGTGTTCACGGTTCGGTTTGATCGGTTTTTAATTAAAACCAATACCAAACCAATTTAATCGGTTTTTAAAATTTTAAAACCAAAACCAAACCAAATTAAATACAAACCATCGGTTTGGTTGTTATTGGTTTGGTTCGGTTTTTCGGTTCTTAGTAAGCTAATAATAAGTCGATAATAGTGAAACAACACTATACAATAATCTGAAAATAGTTTGCTAAATTTATGCTTTTTATATATTTCTTCCGGAACTGAAAGTTTATTTACCTCTTTATATGAAAAGAATGAACAAAAAAACAAACTAAATGTTTGCTTTCTCAAGCTTTAGCCATTGTAGTCCTGCAATTTGAGTTTGCTTTCTTTACTCTTATGGTAGGATTTTTTTTTTTAACTCTTCTGTTAGGCAAAAGTATGTGCGGAGGGTTAGAGAATTAAAGTCTCTTAAGGAAAAGAAAATTAGCTGATTCCTATTGTTTTGGGCTTAGGCAATCTTTTAAGATATAAGTAGGATAAATCAAAATTCAAAATAACAATTAAATTGCATAAAATATTTAAAATTATTTAGAAAAAGATATTATATTGTATATAAATGATTATTAAATTTTGTATATAATTAATCGGTTTGGTTCGGTTTATTTTTCGGTTTTTTATAATAGAATCAAAACCAAACCAAATATTATCGGTTTTTAAAATTTAAAACCAAAACCAATCCAAATCAAAAAAAAATATCGGTTTACTTAATCGGTTTGGTTCGGTTTATTTTTCGGTTTTTTATAATAGAATCAAAACCAAACCAAATATTATCGGTTTTTAAAATTTAAAACCAAAACCAATCCAAATCAAAAAAAAATATCGGTTTACTTAATCGGTTTGGTTTGGATCGGTTTTCCATCAAACCGTGAACAACCCTAATTCTAGTACATAGCAAACCATGGTACTAGCAATGCAAGGATTTTTAATACTTGCATAAGCATGGTTAAAGACATAATTGCCCCTCAAATCTCTCAAAGTGTACAAAGTTAAAGAATGTGGAAAGTATTTTTGAAAACAGATAATTTTTTAAGAAATTATGCAATGCTTTAATACACTAAATCAAATAGTGGATAAGAAATAATCTCAGCATATCTAATGCTAGCATAACTAATCTCAGCTTTACTAATACGAGCATTGCTAATACCCCCCTACTCAGTACTATTCTTATACCTCCTACCAAACAACCCCTTAAAACATCAAGGCTTTTTCTTTCCTTTTGAAGTAGTTGACATTAAGATTTAAACAATTTTTCTAATCCTTTAGGAATTATACTAATTATATAATTCTGATGAGTGGACATGATCTCTCATCACTGAAGGTTAAGAATTGGCACTTTATAAGTTCCAATGGAAACATTTTAACCTTTTCACCAAACATTATTGAACTCCGGTAAGACTTGAACGAGACTTCAAAAGGGAATGGCGTTAGGATCCAAAGGTGAGTCGCAACTAACAACCATATTCTCTATCCTTCTACACGAGTCCAAGTGTCAAAGTATAGAGATAAAGAAAAATTTAACGTGCTGTATCAACTTGATTAATAATTTCGTAGCGTGGTTTGGATGTCAAACCACTCAGCTGAAGCCAGCCAAGAAATATAAAATATATAATACTAGTGCAGTCACTAACAGCAAGAAACTAGGAACAAACATTTATAACAGTGATATAACATTCTTGGTTAATACTGCATACCAGGCTGCTATAGTAACTGGCTGATAGAGGAGCGCATTGTACACATTCACATGGAACCCAAAGCAAGTCACTTCCAGCATCCAGTGCGACGAGAAAAGAAACAGTTGGGGTTCCTATATCAATATACATGTAATGTAACCTAAACAAAATTGCATAAATTTGGATTAAGATCTTCATATAACCCGGAATGCAAACTCTTACAATGTAATAAACGAAAAAGAATAAAATTAAGCACCAAATCCGAACTTGCATCAAACATGGGCCAGAAATGCAATTCACGCACACTGAGACTTTCATTCGATGAACCCCTAACCATGTTTTTTTCTTTTTTTAAATTCAAGCTGAAACCACTAATTTCAGAAAAGTTTTCAGTAACATCCTACATTCCACCACCGAAAGAGAACATACATAAACCAAACCCAAAATACTTCTACTAGCTGACATATGCATTGTCCCATTATATTATTCCATCCTGACTATTCCACTATGTCCCATTTTTAGGATATGTCAATCTAGTGTATTCATCAGTAGACAGACTACAGATAAACTTGATTATGGACTACTTTGTAGTTATGATCGTTATGGGCGTATTCATCAATAAATAGATTACAGAAAACTTGATTTTGGACTAGTTTGTAGTTATGAGCATTATGGCTAATTCATAACCTACACAAGCAAAATGTTCCAATTACGATGGAACAACTAAATATTGCCATAGTACATATGTAGCCATCATCCATGAAATCATATTCTTTAAAAACCCATTGACTTTTCATTAATGCTTTCCAAACTCAAATTTTTGTTTCTATTTTAGCAACAGATAATAAATTGCTCGGACAGGTACAAGCCAAAATCAATTAAGCCCTAATTAAATACACTTAAAAATTAACAAAAATGTTCCAAACAAAATAATGTCACATCAACATCCCAAAATAGTACAACTAATATTTTTGCATCTATTACTTTGACTAAAACGCCAATTTTAGACCATATAGTTAGAAGAGAGATGGTACATATTCATTAATGACCCATTTATTTTTCATTAATGCTTCCAAAACCCAGAATTTAAAATTCCCAGTTGACATACTATAATAATCCTGTTAGATAGTTACAGGCTAGAATCAGAACAAAGTCTTAATTAAACACAGACTGATTAAAGTTAACAACATTCACAACCCTTTTTTAGAAAGTAACATCATTAATCCTCAAACAGTATTTTCTACGAACTGCTTTGTTTTAACACTAAGATCAAAATAACTACTCTATCTATTCCATTTTACGTGATGGTATTTGACTGGCACGAACTTTAAGAAAGAAAGACAGACCATTCTTTTCAAGACAAACTGAAAAGTAAGGTGTGCCACATAAAATGAAAAAGAGGTAACGGACCATCCAAAGTCATTTCCTAACGGCATCGTTTTGCTACCCTCGGAAGGGAAAAGAAGCTGAAACTGAGGACCAAGCTTCATTTTTTGCCGCTGCAAATCGCTGCTCATCAGCCTCCCATAGTACTCCAAGCTCCTGTGCTGCGGCCACACTTCCCCATTCCTTGAAACCCTAAGTTTTTTTACCTCGTCGGAGAATCTATGGACTAACTTTGAGGAATAGAACATATCCGCCGCTACTACCCCACATTCAACCGCCATAGTTAACCCCACCACCACCGCTGCAAAACTCACCTTCCAAATCGCCATTGAACCCAAGATCTAGTTTTTTAAAGGGTGAAAATGGAAGGAACTTGTAGTAGTATAAGTATATTTATATATAAAGGTCTCTGTGTGTGTTTTATGTGTATATTTACAGAGTGAAGGATGCAAGCTGAGAGGAAATGGCTTGGGGTAGGAGTTGGAGGGGGGTAGGTGGGTGATTCTGGGGCGTGTATGTATATGATATGTGTAAATGAGAAGAAGATTTGAGGGGTTAGTGGTGAAGTGAAGAAAGGAAAGTAGGAAGGAGGAGTAAGGAAGAAGACGAAGGTGGAGATCACGCGTGTCACCGCGCATTGTGGTTGGAATCTTACACTATATAATGTGTTAGATACTTCACGATTTTTTAAGCTACTCTTTTCTAAGTAATGTACAATAACTTTTGCGGTTCATTCTAAAACCAAAAATCAATAAAAAGAATGAAGTTACTAGCCCACATAGATAGGATCATAAAATTTAAAACAAATTTATAAAGACCCATAAAATTATTTTCTCTACGGAATTTAGTCTCCAAGGTTTTAAATTAATTACTCTCAGCATAAAAGGGTAGAAACTATATAATAGCTTCATTTCAAATTATAGAACGGCGAACTCAAATATTAGACCAAATCACATTTGACTATTTGAAAATATAAAGAAAAAAAGTGAGAGATTTTCAAAGTAGTTGGTGTAGAAAATTGTGCCAAACTTCTGAATTTATAGCCAACGAGTTGGAAATTCAAAAGGTGGGAAGATGCCTGTTTGGAAACAAGCGCGAACATGCTAGGGGTGGTTTGGTAGCACGTATAAGAATAATGCGGAATAAGTTGTATTAGTAATGCATATATTTGTAATGTAAGCATTAGTTGTGCATATATTATTTCTTATCTACTGTTTGGTGTGGTGTATTAAAATTATAATGCATTGCATAATTTTTTAGAAAAATAATTGTTTACAAAAATGTCCTCCATATTCTCTAACTTTAAAGGACTTTAAGGACAATTTTGTCTTTAAACATACTAATGCATGCATTAATAGCCTTGATATTACTAATGCCATGGTTTTCTATGCATTACTAATGCATAGGATAATACCAAGTATGATGTATACCTAATACAAGTATTAGTTATACACATGTTGAAAAAATGTACCAAGCAAGGTATTAGTAATGCATAGAGCTAATGCTTGCATTATTTTTTCTAATACCTCCTACCAAACGACCCTAGTATTTAAGAAAAATGACGTTATATAGCCGCTGTAGAAATAATAGCGGGAAAAATCTATAAAATTTATATATTTTATATATATATATATATATATATATATACATACATACATATACATACATACATTCTGCATGTTATATACAAAAAATATATAAATTTTATACACATTTTCGGCTACCAGATGTAAATAGTTTCTGGCACGGGTTAAAAGTGATAATACCCCAAGTGTTTATTCCGGAAATTGTTGTTCAACCTTTAGTTAATGACCGTTTGGGAAATGCCACGTGGCTTACAAAAACTCACCAAAATAAAATTTAAAGAGAAAATATTAGTCTAAAAAAAATTATCAATTCAATCAGATTTGACCGAAGCCGAAGTTACTGGACGACGACAACACGAACCTTACCTTCTTTTCAACTATTTAAGAGTTAGTTAAAGTATTTTTCAATATAAGCCCAATAACCTTCTTTTCTTTCTTTCATATGGGAAACATTCCTTCATTTCTCATTCACATCTTACAAAAGTCTTAACGTCGAATATCTAATGACTAAATAAAAAATAAAAAATTAATTTAAATTAGTCTTATGACCAGTATGTATATTAAGATATGTGTCATGTATTTACTGGATTAGAGTCATGTGTACTAGTGTTAGTAAAATTTGGACTCTAGATTAGTGAGAGGTATGATCTGAAATTAGGTTAGGATCCTTTATATTTTTTAAAGATTTTGACTTTGAGCTATAGGTTGTGGCGAAGCTAGAAATTACATTAAAGATATCAAAATATAAAGAATAAATATATAAATAAATAAAGAAGATTCAATAAATAGTATATTTACTTAAAATATATATAAACAATTTACCTCGCTAAGGATGTTTAGATCGAAAGACAAGACCAAAAGTCCAAGGGATTTAGGCTCGTAAGCGGGTGCTGGACCAAAAACATGTTTTTCTTCCATGGTTGACCCATATAGTTTGTTGTCCTTTTTTTTTTGTCCCACTTTATTTAGTCTATAATTAAATTTTCAGAACTTTTAATATGCAATATTTTCAAATTCGATTTATTGTGCCCTAATTGAATTTAATCTTAAAGAATGAAAATGCAGAAAAAGACCGAAATATAATGACGCGCATGCAGTCTTAGTCAATGAAGTTTTAGATATACGACTGCTTTCATGTACAGGCATGAAGATAATTTCATTTAAATATTCCGAAACCTAATATTTATTCACTACATTTATAAGTTATGATAGTTAAGCTTAAAGTTTGATTTCAATTAACTATCCAAACTCAGACATTTTACCTAAAATAGCTTCAAACTACAAAACAAAAATTGCGTCAAATAAGATTAGGCATTTAAGAGATAAAATAATATCAAACATTTCTGACATAAGAGATAAGTCCTAAGTAAAATAGGGTAATGAACATAACTATTCTCCACCTGTCTTGCAAAAGAAATGTACTTGGTGATAGCTTACCTAAATATACCAATCAAAAAAGAATTAAGTTACAATCAGCTGAAAAGAGGAAAAAGAGAAGTTGTTTTCGTTGTTCTTAATTTGGAGAAACAATTACTTTAAGAGGAATCGTATAACTGGCCTTAACAAGTTAACATACTTATTTATATCTATATTTATCTATACAAGCACGAAGACCCTTAGCGAAATATTATTCGTCTTTCTTATCCTAAAAAAATAAATTTCACATTGGACAAAATTATCATTTATTTATTTTTCCTAATTATTAGAATTGTAAAATAACTAAAATTTTATTTATTAAATATTTCCTTATTTAAATTATGTAAAAAATCATAATTTTAGGACTTTAAAATCAATTAAATTATATTACCTTATATAAAAAAAATCCTTACTAGAATTAAGTAACACAACTATAATTTCTTCTATATTGTTATTCCTAATATTCAGGACTATTAAATTAATTAAATCTTTTTTTATTAATTACTTTCTAACTATATCGAACTTTAAATTAATAAGATTATTATTATAAAGAAGGATATGATAGCAAGAAACGTTAAAACGATTCTAAAATTTCAAGGCCAAAAGAAGAAAGATTTTCGCAAAGTTCTAAGGAAACAAAATAATGCCTTGTTTTTTTCCTTCTATTTTGTCTAAAACAAAAATGCTATTAGAAGTAAGAAATCAAAGGTTGGTTTTTACGAAAAATAAACAAAATGCTCCCATTAGATTTTATGTAGGGATGTCAATAGTTCTCTAAAACTCAATTGAATAGACTGAACTGAACCTTTCAAATCGATTAATAAGCTTTTCTAAATAAGATCATAGGTTCGATATAAATCTATGACCATACCGAATAATTAGGATAATTTTTTATTTTTAAATATCAAAAAATACCTAACCGAACCGAACCGAATAAATTTATATGTCTATATTATATGTATTAAGTTTAAAAATAACAAATCATTAATGTAATACTAATATAATTGCAATTAATGTTTCTAATATTTTAAATTTGGAAATTAATTAACATATTGACCATTAAACTTTTTCTTAGAACTAGATAAGAACATCTAATATTTAACTAGATAAGAACATATTGACCATGTCCGCTTCTGCGGGTCCTAGAGTGCATCTGCGGGTATCGCAGATGCGGCGTTTCCCTCGCACCTGCGACCCCTGACCATTCCATATAAATCCGCTTTTGCGCTTGATCTTCCGCACGTGCGAATCCGCACATACAGTCTCCCCTCCGCAGGTGCGAAAACACCAGAAACCAGGAAATCTCATCAATTGCCTAAGTCCAAATTTCAATCCGTTAAACATCCGAAACACACCCGTGGCATTCGGGACCTCAACCAAATATGCCAACAAGTCCTAAAACACCATACGAACTTAGTCAAGCCCTCAAATCACATCAAACAACGCTAAAATCACAAATCACCCTCCAATTTAAACTTAAAGAACTTGAAACTTTAAATTTCCACAATCGATGCCGAAACCTATCAAAACACGTCTGATTGACCTAAAATTTTGCACACAAGTCATATTCAAATGGACCTAATCCAACTTTCGGAATCGGATTTCGACCCCGATATCAAAAATTCCACTACCAGCCCAAAATTCAAAAATTCTACTTTCGCCATTTCAAGCATAAATGAGCTACGGGCCTCAAAATACAATCCGAACATGCCCCTATCCAAAATTCACCCAACTGAGCTAACGGAATCGACGGAACTCCATTTCGGAGTCGTCTTCACACAGTTCCAACTTCGGACCAAATTTTAAGTCTTAAGCCTCTGTTTTAGGGACTAAGTGTCCCAAACACTTTCAAAAAACACCAAAATGAACCTCCCGGCAAGTCACATTAGCAGAAATAGATATGGGGGAAGCAGTTAATAGGGGATCGGGGCTCTAACTCTCAAAATGACCGGATGGGTCGTTACATGTTCCCCCTCTTAAAACAATCATTCGTCCTTGAACGAGCATAGAGACATGCCTGAAGTGGTAAAAATATGAGGATAACGGTTGTGCATATCCTGCTCGGTCTCCTAAGTCGCCTCCTCGACCAGCTGACCCCGCCACTGAACCTTTTATAATGCAATATTTTTTGACCTCAGCTTTCGAACCTGCCTGTCCAAAATAGCCATTGGCTCCTCAACATAAGATAGATCCTTGTCCAATCTAAATGTGAGACGAATCACCGTGATATCTCCGGAGCATCGAAACATGAAATACCGGATGAACTCCTTGTCACACCTCCTTTTTCCTACCTCTGGAAAGGGGTATAAGGGAGTTTTTTCCAATTTAAGTGACAATCGAAATAGGATTATTTATTTCAAATTCAGAGTCGCCACTTGGGATAATTTATAGTGTCCTAAGTTATCGGTTAAAATTCCGAATCGAGGAAGTTGACTCTATTTACGGTCTGCGAACACATAAATCCGGGTAAGGAATTCTGTTAACCTGGGAGAAGGTGTTAGGCATTCCCGGGTTCCGTGGTTTTAGAACGGTCGCTTTGATCATACTTGGCTTAATCAAATTGTCTAATTACTCATTTTAGAACCTATGTGCATTTGCCCTTTAAGAAATTATCTTGAAACAGGTCACGCGCACGTGTACCCATTTGTTTGGCGCATCAAAAATCATGTCACACGAACGTGTCCATAATTAATAACGCTTTATTATTATTAAAAAAGTTTGGCCAAAGTTGCGCAAACGCATACTCTAGTTTTGTTTTTAGAATCGTAATTGTGTCACACGAACGTGTACACAACCACGATGGTATATTAAACATGCCTAAAGCAAACTATGAGTATCATTTTTTAAAACACTTAACATGAGGGCCATAAG